CCGCCACGTCGCTGCTGCTGCTGGGCCTCCACGCCGCGCTCCTGCTGGGCCTCCTCTTCGCCCCGCCGCCGCCCCCCTACGCCGCCACGACCACCGTCGCCGCCGAAAAGAAAAAGAAGCGAAGAAAGTGATGTTTTTTTCCACGTAGGTCAAGAGAACCGTACATTCCTGGCATAGAGGGGCGTGCGCACATGTATCATCCTGGCCACTGCAGAAATGAGCAACATACTCCAAACAAGAGTGAGGTCCCTTTTTTGGTGTAGTATGCCTCCCCCCTGAACAAGAGTGATGGTAGTGCAGGTGAGGCCCTGTTCCCTGCTTCATCACTTGTTGTTGGCTGGTGGTGTTGGCCTTGACCATGCTCCTCACAGGGTCCACCACCACCAACAGTGTCAGCAGTAAGTCACAGACCCCACTGATATGCTGGAACTTCAACACTGCTGTGCCTGCAGGATCCCCCATGCCCATCACCTCCACCTCTGCCAGAGCAACTTTGGCAAAAAATGGTCTAATGGCAGTCCACATATTTCTGGCAAAGTCAAGGACCAAAGTCTGGCTGGGGTGAGGAGCGCCAACAAAAGGCAGTGTGAGGGAACTGATCGCCTGTGCTTCACCACCACCTCACCCAGCCACTTGCTGGCCACAAGGTCCGCTTGAAGGCCAAATTTGGCCCTTTCCAGTTACACTGCAAAAGAACACGTTGACATGCAATGGGTATTCTGTCGCACGCAAGATTCCAGTTCACTTGTTGTCGGCGAAGAAGGCGGGCGCTTGGCGGTGGAGGCTGTGGAGCTGATCGTCTTCCGGTGTCCAGGCGCGGAGCCTCATGTGCTTGATCCCGTGCACTTGGTCCTTTTGACAAAGAAGCATAACCACCACACGCAAGGGTAAGCTTTGGCCGTCCACTCAAGTTTTGCGTGTGTGTGTGAGCTGGTGTATGTGTGTGTGCCTTGATGACGTCCCATATGAGACTGTCTCGGTCTTCCACTTTGGTGAGACCCCGGAACTGGGGGCTGACCACGGTGAGCATCAACCGCCGGTCCTCCTCCGGTCCCTCGCACTCCACAGAAACCCGGTCGGCCTTCAGCCTCTCCTTCAACAACTCCTCCAGCTTCTTCCGCATCTTCTGCACGCCGACCTCGACTGCCATCTTTTTCCTCACAACAACCACAGTTGAAACAACAACAAGGTTGAAAGATTACCAATTCGTATGGGTTGGTCAAGTTTAAAGGCCTGCGGGCCAATCGAGAGAGGGGCCGGTGAGCAGTCGCGTGGGCAGTCGAGTGCGGGCGCCAGAGGAGCGCCAATCATCCGTTGGAAAACTCGGCGCTTCTTCACCAGGAGATGTACGTTGAGTGGGACCTGCCGACGACGCCGAATAAAGGCGCCTGTACCCTTCCCTTTGTCCTCTTGCTCTTCTTCAATTCA